CTTGTAAAATGATGAATGAACCAGCTTTAAAACTGTCACTATGCCACTATTTTTTATTATCTGAGTGAAATTATTGAGGCCAATATTGCATTAATGTTCATAATATAATTAATAAACAGCTGTACTATCAAAATAAATAAATAAATAAATAATAAATCAGTCACGTGTAGGTTTACCATCCTGATAAACTTAACTTCAGGTCTCACCTTCACATCTTCTTCCCCTAAGAACGCCTCCTCTGACAACACACACCTAGATGTTTCCATGCTCCATTGTGGCAGTAATGATTTTCTGTATAAGGAATTTTGCCACTGCACTGCACCACTCCACTGCACTTCTGTTAGAGAAGGCAGTCATTCCATCTGTGAATATCAGAGCTTACTCCAGTGCTTGAAAGAGCCGCTGCTGCTGCCGCTAAATCGTTTCAGTCGTGTCTGACTCTGTGTGACCCCATAGACGGAAGCCCACCAGGCCCCTCTGTCCCAGGATTCTCCAGGCAAGAACACTGGAGTGGGTTGCCATTTCCTTCTCCAATGCATGAAAGCGAAAAGTGAAAGTGAAGTCGCTCACTCGTGTCCGACTCTTTGCAACCCCATGGACTGCAGCCTACCTGGCTCCTCTGTCCATGGGATTTTCCAGGCAAGAGTACTGGGGTGGGGTGCCATTTCCTTCTCCTTGAACGAGCTATAAACTTTTATTTGGTAAACAAATCAATTCATTCATATATTAATCAATGACATGGTACCTTAACAAGTCACTATGAATATTTAACAAATAGTAGAAAGAAGAAAACTAACATGTATTAAAAGCCAATTAAGTGCCAAGCCTCTGTTAAATCTTTGTAGATTTTATCGGTTTTTTTCTTGTATTTTTCCTTCTCTAATGATTTAAATTATCTCACATTTTCCATAAATGATTTATTAGCTAACAAAACATGTAGCAACCTACATATACTACTAGATCCTATCTTGTGTGATGTAATAAAAGATTTTAGGTAATTTATATATACATGTATGTATATATACATAGAGAAGAACTTATTTATAAAAATACAGTCTCTAAAAAGCAGGAAACAAAATATCTTGCAACTCTAAGAACCTCATTTATATTTCACATATGCTGTAGACAACGGCTCAGAAACTCAGATGTGGTGCTTATAAATATGTATGAAGTATAATTAGCTTGGAAAATGCTGCTTCGTCAACAGTCTTGATATTGTTGATGTGCTTCAGTGACTTACTAAGCAGTGTTGGAAAAGGAACTCTCCAGATTCCAACAAACTGAAGCAGTTCTCTTCACCCGTACCATGTTAGTCTTTTCCATTCTGTCATCACATGAAAGACTTGTCTTTTAAACCTGCACTGTTGGTATGTTGCTGTATGCCATCAGCTCTTTACTGTTTTGGAGTGCTTCTTTGCCCTATGCTTATTAAAGAATTATATTTGTATTTTAAAACCCTTACATACATCCGCATATGCGCATGCACACACCACACACACAAACGCCACACACACAAACACCACACACAATTCAGTTCCAAATGATTTCACTGGTGAATCTACCAAACATTTAATAAAGAAGTAATTAATTCTTCAGAGTATTGAAGAAGAGGAAATACGTCCGAGTCATTCTATGATGCCAGTATTACTATGATACAAACCAAAGACATTGTGAAAAAAAACAAAATTATAGACCAATATCCCTCATAAACCTAGATGGAAAAATTCTGACAATGTTAAAACATAGAATCCAACCATTTATTAAGATAATCTACAAATTAGAAGAATGTATTTGAAAATTACATGTCTGATGAAGGATTTGTATCCATATTATATGTAAATACCTTTCAAAACTAAGAACAAATAACCCAGTAAAAACTTGTACAAAAAATTTTAACAGTCACAGCCAAAGAAGATGGTGAAAAGCACATGAAAAGACACTCAGCATAATTAGTTGCAAGGAAAATGCAAATTAAAACCCAAATGTTGTACACACCATTAGAATGTCTGAAATCTTAAAAGACCAACTACATCAAGTAGTGACAAGGATATAGTTACATTTGTAACTCTTACCCATTTCTAGTGAGAATTAAAAATAGTACAAATAATTTGGAAAACATGTTGATTGTTTCTTAAAAGCATAAACATATATCCACCAGATAGTCTAGCCATGCCACTTAGAGGTCTTTCATTCCAAGAGAAATCATCATACGTTCATACAAATATTTGTATACAAATGTTAATAGTGACTCTATTTAGAATAGCCAAAGCTGATATAATCCAAATGTCCATCAAGAAGTGAATGAATAAAGAGATAGGGGCATATCCATGTGGGACTTCCCAGGTGGTACAGTGATAAAGAATCCACCTGCCAATGTAGGAAATGCAAGATATGCCAGCTCGAACCCTGGTCAGGAAGAACCCCTGGAGTGGGAGATGGCAACCCACTCCAGTATTCTTGCCTGGAAAAAATTCCATGGACAGAGGAGCCTGGCAGGCTACAGTCCATGAGGTCACAAAGAGTTGGATATGACTGAGCAATGGAACACACACATGTATCTATGTAAATAAAAAAGAGATCACATCTTGATATACACACAACATGGATAAATGTCAAAACAATTATCCTGAATGAAAGAAGCCAAACAAGCAAAAAGAGTACTACATACTGGATGATTCTATTATATAAAAGTCCATAAAATACAAACTAAAAGTTCTGGAAACCAGAGCAGTGCTTATGTGGAGATAAGGAAGGATGAGGAGTGGGAGGGAGGGTATGGAAAGAAATGATGAGTATGTTCTCTGCCTCAATTGTTTGACAGTTTCATGGGTGTATAAATATCAAAGCTTATCAAATTGCAAATTTTAAATACAGTAAGGTTATTTATACCTCACTGAAACTGTTGAAAAGTGTAAGAAAGTAGAAAAAAGTGAATATTTCCCATCACTCTTCCTAGTCTCTCCAAATTTCCGCATCTCAGACTTTAGCCTTTTTCCATGTTGTCTGGCCCTCCTTTTCTCTCTCACGTCATTTCATTAATTTTCTTATGCACAGCAAGTCAACTCTCTCTCCTTCCTTTACCTCTTTGCCTCCTTTGCATATCCAAGATCAGCTGTAAAATATTGGTTGTTAGATTCTCACCAGACCTTGTTCCTGTAGAAAGGAATTCATACCTTAAGACTCTGGGGAAAGCTTGCTCCCTTTGATTGCTTTGTCTAGCTCCATCTAGTATTATGAATGAGCCGTGTTATCCTGATGGCTCAGGGTCATCATTGTCAATGTTGGCATCTACTGAAGCCTGTTTCATCCTTATCCAAATAGATTTGGATTGCTGAGATTTAAAAATTCTCCAAGTTGGTGTTCTTTCCTCATTGTCAGTTTGCCAGCTGTCACTTCGGCTGCTTTCATGTGCTTATTTAGAGAATCTTCATTCTTCTTTCTTTGTAATTTCCTTTCTCTAATCTGTTTTGATTCAGGAAACCTGTAACCAAGGGAGTAAGAATGGCATATAAATTTGGAACAATTCTATATGAAGCTGAGTGGGTAATGGAGGCTTATTTTTTTGAGTAAGGTACATTGGAGTTGTGCCATTGATATTGACACTCTTACCTTTTTTTCAAAATAAATGACACTTACATGACGTTACTGTATCTAATTCCCCACACCGTAGAACCAAGAATTTCTGTATTCTCAATTGAAGAGAGTGTCCATTTCCCACAGCATAATTTGTCAGAGTTGTCAGGCAGCTCTTTTTACAAAGGCTACATATAAATGCACAGATTCTTTTTGTTTATGTAGATGTTTCCAATATGGCCTTTTGTAGATATCATAGTATTATTTAATCAATCTGTTTTATGAGCAATAGATTATTTAACTGAAAGCTGTTGGAATAACACCTTAAAATAAATTTTACCACAACAGTGGCAATCTGTAATTTCTCCTAGTTTAATGTTCAAATAGTATGATAAAAAATGTTATTAAACCACTGGAAATGTAATTGAAGAGTATTATGTCTGGGCTAACCTGAGTTCAGATTTATAACTTTAACAGTAAGTATTTAGCATTCGCTAGCTTTTCTTACACTCTGAAATACTCTTCCAATTTAGAATTTACAAGATCTAAATTTGTAAGACCCTATTAGGTTTATCTTTTGGTATGTAATGACTCTTGAAGTGCAAACATTATTAAAATAGATAACTAAACATATTACTTTAAGCAATCCTTTCCCATCTCACTCTATTATCTTTGTGACACCTCTGTTAGTTCAAGCCTCAATAAATCCATCTTTGCTAGGAGATGATTGTGGCTCAGAGACTGTCATTTAGAAGGTTTTATTTTGCCCCAATACTTGGAGATGCCTTCAGAAGAGGAACACCATTCTTCCTCATTTCAACACCTCTGGGCAGGAGATGCTTCCTCCACTTATCCCACAGCTGGAATGAGACATGCTTAGGGATCAAGTCAAGGATGCGCTTAGTTCTCAGTCTGCTTGGCCTTTCAGATTTATAACTTTAACAGTAAGTATTTAGCATTCGCTAGCTTTTCTTACACTCTGAAATACTCTTCCAATTTAGAATTTACAAGATCTAAATTTGTAAGACCCTATTAGGTTTATCTTTTGGTATGTAATGACTCTTGAAGTGTAAACATTATTAAAATAGATAACTAAACATATTACTTTAAGCAATCCTTTCCCATCTCACTCTATTATCTTTGTGACACCTCTGTTAGTTCAAGCCTCAATAAATCCATCTTTGCTAGGAGATGATTGTGGCTCAGAGACTGTCATTTAGAAGGTTTTATTTTGCCCCAATACTTGGAGATGCCTTCAGAAGAGGAACACCATTCTTCCTCATTTCAACACCTCTGGGCAGGAGATGCTTCCTCCACTTATCCCACAGCTGGAATGAGACATGCTTAGGGATCAAGTCAAGGATGCGCTTAGTTCTCAGTCTGCTTGGCCATTGGACAGCGCTGGACAGTCCTGACCAGTTACGGCCATGCAACACTGCCAGTCACCGCGCTCTGAGCCACTTCTGTGTCTCTCGATTTCTGATATCATGCTCTCCCCGGTTCTCTTTGTCCTTTCTGGAATCTTAACTACCTTGCCAGCCCCACTTTGTGTACCTGCCTTTAAATAAGTGTTGGGATTCCCAAGGGTTCTCTTCTAGACTTTCTTCTCATCTCCTCACTTTAATCACAAATACATGCTGATAATGTATTATTCTGCATACATAGTTCAGAATGCTTTCCTAGGGTAAACGGCGTACCAACTCCCTGCAGGGTAGCTCGACTCCTTCATTCTTTGGTTTTAGAAATGTGACACTTCTTTTTCTGCCCACAGGCAACAGGTCCCCAGGGTTCATTAAAGGAAGGTGCCAAAGGTTCTCTTCAGAAAAGCTTCGGGATTCTTAATGAAGCCAAGAAGTTAGCAAATGATGTAAAAGGTTAGTGTGATCTCTTTTTATTATTATTTTCAGTGTAATTGTAGTTGTAATTGGTAGGATATTTTATCAGATTACTAGAAAAATGTAATTATTGCACTGTGGTTGTTATGATTATTTTTACTATCTAGATTTAGTGCAAGTAAACTATCTTATCAGTTTTACTGTATTTTGCCTTCACATGTCATTTTGTACTGGGCATTACTTCAGAACTTTTAAACCTAATTTCTGTAACATCATTTCATCTGTGTCTTAAGTAGAGGAACTTTTAATTTTTAAAGTATGGCAACTTTTAAAGAGCATCAAATGCCACCTTTTTTGACTTTATAAATTATAGTCACAAATGAGTGAATAAGGCAGATGTAGTATAACTATCTTTGTGCAGCTTTTGATTTAGTGGAGCACATCTCTCAAAAAGTTTTTGCCACCTAAATACATTTTTGTGTATTTTATCCCTAATTCAAAGATCAAAGTGCATAAAATATCTGACTTGATATGGCATGGGTTTTGCATTAAAAATTCAATACAGCCCACATTCTAGATAAGTTATTATATTTATTATTTCATTCAAATATCTCCTGTCCTCATGTAATTGCCTGCTGTTTCTGTCTTTGGTCTCATTCCTTCCCCTTTTCTGGCTTGCATCCAGCTCCCCAACCTTACTGAGGTATTCATGTTCTCTGAAAACTTGCTGCCATTTCAAACCTCCACGTTCTGCAGTGTTCATTCTTCTCTTTGGAACTCCTCACCATCCCTTTTTTCCAACCAACTACCTCCTACCAGACCTTCAAGATTTAGTCCAAGTGTTATCATCTCCGGGAGGCCTGGCACCCCATCTGAATTACATGCCTCCTCTGTGCACCCCTTTCTCACAGAGTTGTCAGATCATCACAGCCGTGGGCTTAGCATCCATCTTCTTGAGGACAGTAGCAGGATCTTCTTTTTAGCCTTGTATTTTGGTGTATAGTATCACAGTGACTATCTCAATTCAGGAAATAAGCATATTTTTTAAATAAAAGAATAATGTTTGTCTTTACTAACCTTAGAAAGAAAAGATATTTTTATCGTTTATATTTGCCAATGCTCTCAATGAATAGTCTTTGATTTCCAATAGAGGCTGGTATGGAATTACACGTTTTGTCTCCATTATAGATAGCACTCTGACAGTAAATGCTTTGGATTGCATATCATAGGTAAAATATGACCCCTTATATGTATAATCCTATGCAGGAAACTGCACTCATCACAGCCTGAACAATAGCTGTAGAGTCAGTCCTGCTCTCCTCACCTGGCGAGTCGGGTCACCTTGTTACTTGGTCATCATGCCTTTCCCCCCACGCGCTCGCCCAGAGCCGAGATCAGGGTGAGCTGAGAGGTCCAGCCACACAAATGCAGGGTTAGATTCTGCTTCTGTTGGAAATGTTTAATATTTTGCTCATATTGATCTTTTTTTAATTAAATGTGATTTTAAAAAAAATACTGCATGAAAATGTTTTATCTTGAACACTGAGTTTTGGGGGGCCCCTTTGAATTTCACACGTGAGGTGAATGCCTGAGTCTCCTCACCCTGATCCCAGCCCTGTCCTTGACTCTATTTCCCCACAAACACTGGTGTTATAAAAATGGAAAAAGAATCTTATGTTTTAAGAGTTTTTTCTCCAAGGGAAAAAGAAACCTAAGAACAGGTGTGGTAGCCAGGGTTAGGTGACAGAAAGGTTCATTAGTTTAAATGTCCTTTTTTGTACTTCAGGTAGTACATTATTTAAAGTAATGAAAACCCACAAACTACTCAAGTAATAATTCCTCCAGAAATCCAAGCCAAGGCTCTGACGGAGATGGGAATGTTTTCCTGCTACATTATGACATTCCCCTGATTTGTGGCCAATTACACAAGTTATAAAATGGCTCTTAATCAGGGAAATGCCATATATTACCACCAGGAACTGCTGAAATAGGCCCTACAGAGCAAAATACTTGACAGCAGCTATTAAAATAGAGATTTAGTCATTTCTCTCTCCATGGTGCCTGGTGTTAGAAGGGATAAAAATGGTGAGGCAGCATACCCTCCATATTTCTAATGTGTTACTTGGTTCTAGTCAGTACAATCCAGTTAGTTCATGAGCTTTAGTCATGAATAACTTAGAGCTGCTCCCTGCCATCTTTATGCTGTCCTTGCCTTCAAAGAAACTGAACTTGCCAGGAGCAGTTTGTTTTGCCTTTTAAGTTTTGAATATACATTTATAAAAGTAAATTTGCCCTTGTGCACATTTGCCATTTGAGACCAGTCTGTATCAAATTGATTGAATGTCCATGGAGATAAAAATTGTTTTGTTGATGGATATGGGGCTTGATACAAATTGATGACCAAAAAACCTAGAAGACAAATTGATGCCACTGGGTGAATTAATACTACTTTGCAGATTGACAAAGGATTTTGTCAAAAAAAAAAAAAAAGCCAGGTGAGGCTCTCATGGAATATGTACAGGGCAAAGATTGAAGTTGAGGATGGTATATTAGAAGTCTGAAAATACTAAAATTCTATCATTATATACCTTATCTTATATAGAGTAACTTTTAAACTTTATTTGCCTCTTAATTTAACCCTACTTTTCAAACTTTGCTCAAAATAAGTGAAATTATTTAATTAGGAACAAATACATAACATCTCTATAAAATGAATGACATGCACATTGAATAAAAAGATCTATTCTCAAGCCCAAGGATATGGAATCAATGAACTGTATGACTTATGATGTTGTCCAAAACACAGAACAGTGCCAGAATTGCCCCAAACATTAATCAAATTAATCCACATTTTCCTTCTGTACCATGACCCTCCAGACACTGAGTCATTCAGACCAGACAAATGTATCAAAATGGTTTTGCAATCATGAATATAGCCCACTTGCAATTACTAACCCAGACCAGACAAATGTATCAAAATGGTTTTGCGATCATGAATATAACACACTTGCAATTACTAACCTGTTAAGAGTCTGTGTTATTATTTCAGATTAGATACAAACAGAATAAACAGGAATATTGTAGTAATATTAAACTGAAGTATGATTTAGGAATTAAAATTTTTAGGACACTAATCTTCTCAGTCTGCTGACTTTCTGAATAAAGTAGCTATTCCTCTCTCCCAATAATAAATAAATAAAAGTATTTTTATATTATTAAAACTAGACTCCTCTTGGGAATTCCCTGGTGGTCCAGTGGTGAAGACTCCATGCTTTCATTGCCAAGGGTGGGAGTTCAATCCCTGGTCAGGCAACCAAATCCCACAAGCCGCATAGGACAGCCGAAGTATTATACATATACATATATACATATAGTGGTTTAGTCACTAAACCACTCTTGCAACCCATGGACTGTAGCCTGCCAGGCTCTTCTGACCATGAGATTCTTCAGGCAAGAATACTAAAGTAGACTGCTATTTCCTTCTCCAAGGGATCTTCCCAACCTAGGGATTGAACTGGGGTCTCCTGCACTGCAGACAGATTCTTTACCGACTGAGCTACCAGAGAAGTCCCAGTATGTGTGTGTGTATGTATATAATGCATATATAATATATTAATATACATACATACATTAATATATGATTATTATATAATTATTAATATAATGTATAATATATACACATATATAATATATATTATATACTTATATTGTATGTATATATATTAGTTTTAACTCCTTGCATTAGACATCTTTTTTTGCCTTAGAAAAAATACTTCTTGGGCTTCCAATAAGTTTTCAGTTCAGTTCAGTCACTCAGTCATGTCCGACTCTGCGATCCCATGAATTCAGCACGCCAGGCCTCCCTGTCCATCATCAACTCCCGGAGTCCACCCAAACCCACATCCATTGAATTGGTGATGCCATCCAGCCATCTCATCCTCTGTCATCCCCTTCTCCTCCTGCCCTCAATCTTTCCCAGCAGCATCAGGGTCTTTTCAAATGAGTCAGCTCTTCGCATCAGGTGGCCAACGTATTGGAGTTTCAGCTTCAACATCAATCCTTCCAATGAACACCCAGGACTGATTTTGTTTTGTTTTTTTTTTTAATATGCATACTACCATTTGCCAGAATCTGCCTTCCCAAAAGTGTGCAAGTGAAAGACAAACAAACCATTCCATTGACAAAAAAATAATTTTGGATTAAATGGATAAAACCAACCCTGGATCCCCTAGCCTATTGTAGTCCAGAGAACAAGCTAGTCTTTTCCTGTATAAAATGCTGATTCCTCATGCAGAGTTTTAGTTCCTCCTTAGGTGTGTGAATAGAGAAAATTGAGAAATAAAAATAAAGTTGGACTCGGTTTCAGAGTTTAAATGAGAAGTGGCAAAATAAGGGCCAAACAGAGAACAACAGAAACTAATAGAACCAGAGAGTACTTGTCTCACTTAAAGATATTTAAACTACATTTGTTTTAGAATACCTTGCTGGCCAAAACAAAAGGAGCCTACAAACCCACACTCAGGCTTTGGAGCTTGTCCTAGAAAAACCACATGGAGTTTTTGATGTCTGGATATTTTGGTTTCTCATTCAACTGGCTGAAGAAAAGACTGTCCTCTATCCTGATATCTTAAGACTTTGGAGATGATAGTGAAAGTGAAGTCGCTCAGTTGTGTCCGACTCTTTGCAACTTTATGGACTATAGCCTACCAGGCTCCTCCGTCCATGGGATTTTCTAGGGAAGAGTACTGGAATTGGTTGCCATTTCCTTCTGCAGGGGATCTTCACGACCCAGAGGCTGAACCCAGTTCTTTCACATTTCAGGCAGACACTTTAGTGTCTGAGCCACCAGACAAACCCCCCTTCCCTCCTCTCCTTAGGCTTCAACTATAATCTGGTGGTGGGACGGAGAACATGTTCAGTTCCAGCAAACAGCTATTGAGGGCCTAGTGAGCACTGTGGTCAAGGCAGACAAGAACAGATTTGTCAGTTTTCAATCAGGACAAAGTTTCCCAGTAACATGCCTTCCTATAAACACAGGC